GATTATTTCAGTGATAAATAAGTTTTTCTAATGAGTTCAATTTCTTAAGTTTCCATGGTTGAATACTACTTAATACATTCCACTCAAAGGTTCAATACTCTTAAAACTGTAATGTACATTGAATCTATAATATTATAACATTTTCAGACGTTTATACATCTAAACTTATCTGCAATCCAAGCAAAGGAGAAGGAAATTTCTATTCTCTTCTAAAAATTATCAACACTATTAAATCATTATAGTGGACAGTGGCTACCAGTGGAATCTAGGACCTGCATCCCAGAGTTGATGTTCGTTCTGGAACTCGAACCTAGTACCATTGGCTTCAAACGCCATCACGTTATCCACTTAGCTACTGAGTTTTGATAGCCACTTGCTTGTGCAATGAGGTGATGTTTCAATTGACTTAGGGTTGTAAGCTTGTATCTTCCCATTTATGTTTAGGACTGCTCAGTCTGATCAGTCTCTTGTTGGTATATGTGCATCCTGTGCGGATTGCCTTAATATAGTAATATTACAAGCTTTATAAGCAAAGATGGATTATGGCTGTCCTAAACAACAATGAGAAGATACAAGCAAACAACACCAAGTGAATTATTAAATTATATTTATCATTATAGGCTTGTAGAGATTATTAAGTTCATGATTGAGATCATGAACCACTTTACGTTAGACCGCCATTGAAAACCTGGAAGCACTGGACGGCCGTTTCGTCCTATTGTGGGACTCCTCAGCAGTGCACGAGTGGGATCAAGAATGCGCACTTCTGAGGAGTCCCATGCTAGGGTGAAACGGCCTTCCAGTGCTTCTAGGCTTTCAATGGTGGTTTAACATTAATCGGTTCATGACTGTATGTTCAGCTTCAAAAAATTCGTCAGTTTTCTTTTAAAAAATTGTAATTCGTTACTGAGAACAATAAATTTTTTTCTAATAACCATAAGTAAATATTTAAAAAAAACATTTTTATCACTTACTGTAGATTATTTTTATTAAAGTGAATACAACATTCCAATTTACTTTGTTCATTTGTTGCCATGGTTACATCAACGGATAATTTTAATTTTAAAAAAAAAGAACAAACTGAAATTGGATAAAAACTTATGGCCAGTAAACTGGGTCATTTTAATAAAATGAGATACATGTGAATTCAATTAATCATTTTATTATCTTTTTCTGTCTTTGTCCTCTTTTTTTAAAAATATCTTAGGCTCAATCAGTAATAGAAAGAAGTGGCTAAAGCTTTTATCAAAAATAGATAACTGATTTTAAACCTTATTATAGTCTCGATGAGACTATAATTTATGGACGAACCAATCAGACATAAGGTAATAAATCTGGGATTTTGGCGCGAAGTTTATCTATTCATTTAATTAGATAGCGTTTTGGTATTTTAGTTGATAAACACCCTGAATCTAATTCCTAGCTCTAACTATTAACTATAAATCATAATTCTAATTCCTCACACTGGTTTATAACTCTCATTTAGTCCTAGTTAATAAGCGGACATCCTACAACAAATGGGACTATTAAGAGCTTCTTTTATTTGTGATCATGGTAATCAAATGAGTTGTGAACTTTGTGCAGACTACCGTGATGATGTAGTCTTTCGATGTAATATGCGTTGGAGGAAGAAGTCTGCTAGAATAGAATTTTTCGCTCACTCCAAATTGAGAATAAGATAAATCATGACAATTGTTACGAACTGGATAATAAAAGCACCAGTAACAATGGCTTCAGCCGGGTATTACACTATATGCGCACGACTGCAGAGCGCACAGATGCTTTTATAGACTTGGTTATATGCATCGTGTCGTTATCCACAAGCAAAATTTTGTGGACCCAACAACAAGAGTGCATACAAACAATATTGAAGCTATGTGGTCGAGGCTGAAAGAGTTTTTACAACCTTATCATGGCTCCAGAGGCCTACTAGTATGGAGTTATATGGATGATTTCCTGTACCGTATGCATTACTATTTCAAGACCTCTGAACCTCTTTCTAACCTTGACAAGTTTTTGAACCACGTAAAAGAAGTTTATCCACTTTAATTCTTTGGTTTTATGTAGTATATTTTTACTCTATGCAGTTTTCTGATTGGCTGATACTCCTCAAAGTCATTTGAGGTTCGCTTAATGGTCGTCCATAAATTATAATCTTGTAGATGGTCGCTTCTTCTATCATATTCAACGTATTTCAATTTATGAATGAAGTTATCAATTTTCAGAGGTTTCAAAAATGTCTGAACAAATTTTTCATTTAAAGCACTGTGAAACTACTTATGAATGTTGTGTTCTGTTAGTTATTAATGAAGTTGTGATTCAGTTTTTTATTGAATCTAATAATGTATTTTATTTACCTGAGTTCAATACATTTATACAATCATTGTAGATCATGTCGGACAGATTGTATTCAAATGTAAAGTGACAATCAGTATATAACCCGTTTAATCAAAAGTAAAGAACACTTGTTGGGTGTTGATCATTCACTTTTTTCAGAAATTAGGAAGATAATAGACGATATAATTTTATAGTTTATCTACGCTTATAGATTATAAAATTATGTTTTACGCCTTTTTCGTGATTTCATACTGATTCTAGATTCATTCTACGTAGTATAAACTGACAATTAGTTAAATTTGAGGAAATAAAATGACTTAGATCATTGATTACAATATTTTTTTAAAGGTATATGGCAATCAGCGACAGCCTATTGTTGGAGAAAACAAACCAGCTTCCAACTGAAGAGGTAATTAGGAAAAGACGTTGGAAGTGGATAGGACATACATCATGGAAATCATCAAACTGCATCACGAGGCAATCCGTAACTTGGAATCCTGAAGGGAAATGGAAAAAAGGAAGACCAAGGAACACACTGCGTTGGGAATTGGAGGCAGACATGAAAAAGATAAATAGCAACTGGAAAGAACTGGAAAGGACTACCCAGGACACGGTTGGATTCAGAGTGCTGGTGGGCGGCCTATACTCCTCCACGAGGAGTAACAGGCGTAAGGAAGTAAATGAATGTAGCCAGAGATCAGCAAGCAAACAACTGATGAAGCTTCTATATATCTGTACTAAAATCATCAAATTAATGATTAGCTCACCTGACCTTTAGAGAAACTGATGAATAAATATTGACAAATTAGGATCAATAACAGTTTGGAAGAACTTTTAGTGTTTAGTAATAAAATTAAGATAACGGTTTGTAGCTTACCATAAAAAATTCATTCCTAAAAATGTTTATTTCCCTGCGAATGTTTTCGATTCGTAACACTCATGTATATTTGCATGATAAATGAAGGTCTTAGTCATAGTTTAATCAGAATTAAACATCTTCAAGTTACAGACCTAACTTATTCATGACTGTACTATGAAACTTACTAGATGTTGAGGTCACCTCAATCCTAGGGATGACACAATATCTAACACTTCTGATTAATAAAGAAAACTATGAAGCAAGCTATTTAATAGTAGTTCATAGTTCAATTTTGAATTATCGGGTCCCCTGTTAATTTTGATATACTACTATTTAGGCTTATCACTGAACGTTGTTTCAACTTTTAGTCCATCAACATAGTTAGCTACTTTTAAAAGTCATTTACCACTGGTTCTTATTATTCATAGTTAATCTGTTCACTGGCAATTCATCAATAATATATGCTACTTTAACTGAAAGTTAGCAAATCATTTGATTATAATGTGGATCTCTTTTGCAGTTGAAGTAGTTTGAACATGTAGCATGTACTCTCAACGACTAACTATCAGCTGACATAGGACCAAACCAAAATGTGCCGTCAATAAATGAAGTCATTAACTGTGAATTTGAACTATTTTATGCTGATATGGTGCAACTATTTAAACAGGCAACTCTAAAAACAGAGAATTTCTAGAAGCTTAGCACTCAAGTCAATCAGCAATTGAAATCGATCCAATTTATCAAGCGATCAGGAAAATCATGGACAAACATAAGACCAAAGACCGAACCGATGGTAGATACAACCAAAATAAAGAAGTAAACAATGAGAAGTTTGAAGTCAACAAAAACCAATCAACATCAAGGTCTACAGGACATATTGTGAACTAAATGTAGAGAAATTCGAATACTTCACCTCTACTTGAAGTTTGTTCTGATGATGTCAATCAGAAGAATGATGAAAACTTCACAACCAAACCATCTAGATTTAAAAGAACAAAACTCCATCAAAACCATCCACCTAAACTATAAATCTTCTCCACCGATGTAAATATATACTAAACTCTACATTGATTAAGATTGACTGACTTTAACTTATAATTTACATATGTGAAATCATCAACTCAATATACATTTTGATTTTTCCACAGTTGAATGAAAAGTTATTTATGACTTCATTTATTTAACTTTCTATTTGATTTCAATTACCTGTACATGAAAAAAGTACTTATTTTATGACCATTCTCAAAACTTTTCGAAAAATTGTAAAAAAAACATTCACATAGAAACAAACATCATAAAATTACTTTTTTTTTAAAAAGAGAAAAAAACAAAAAAACAATATTAACCAATCATATTTGATAATGATAATTACGTAACAACAGTTGAGTATTTTCAGTTTACAATCGGCCTGGTTACAAGAAACTGAAGAAAACCTTGTTTTTTTAAAAAAAATAAAAAAACAAACAACTTACAAAATAATCCATGTAAAATCACTATCGAATTGGTGTATTAAAAATGAAGAAAAGAAAAAGATCATCATAGGAATATTTCATATTGTTGTAATTGTCACTGTTTTGTATTCCTGCCTCTCTTTGTTGTGTATTTACTCTAAATATTGTATATTTATGTATTCACTTGTTATATATGAATGTATACATACATGGATGTGTACATACTTGTACATAATCAACCACCGAGTTATTTATTGAAATCAAGAAACATTTACATAAATATAGATAGATAGATACAAAGTACAGAAAAGATCAAAATGCATCTATCGGATGTTTTCTTATATTCTTTTGTTCTTTCTTAACATCAAATTAGATTAATAAAACCAACGAAAAAAAATTTAATATAAATGAGTACAAATGTAATTGATTTCTTTTTTCTTTCGTATTAATCTCCATGATCTCAAATGAGTCTATTTTAATTTATATTCATAGTGAATAATATTTGTAATTGTTTCTTTATTTTTCCAGGAAAAGAAGAAGATCAGAGAACACATTGTAGAGGGAATTGGAAATAAATATGAAAAGGATGAATAACAACTGGAAAGGATTGCCCAGGACAGGGTTGGATGGAGAGTGCTCCTCCACGAGGAGTAACAGGCGTAAGTAAGTTCTTTTTTTCCTAATAATAATAAATCAATGAATAAATCACACTATTCACCCATGATGTTCAAGGTAAATGATGGTAGTTTTTAACATCTCTTGTGCGGTTTTAAGTCCAAAGATTAAGGGAGCTAGAATTTTGTGAAAAGAACTATGCAAAAAGAAAGTTAACACTTCAAGGCGAATTCATTTAGTTCCAAAGTATACGAAATCCTGAAAAAGTATAAATATTTCATTAAGAAAAAAGAACAATACAAAAAGAAAGTGTCAATATAAATAAGAGTAACTGAAATCATATAAATCAGTAGTACATAAACGAATCTTGAAATTTTATCATTTTCTATCAATCAGATTATAAAATCAATAAAACATTGATAAATGTAACTTACTTTAAATATGTCTTTTGAATAAGGAACATGTTAAATAAGAAGTGATTAATAGTGATTAAATAATCGATAATTGTTTTCATTAGTTCTAATCGGTTAATTGGAACAAAATCTTTTAGTCACATAGTGAATAAGTAACTCATTTATGAGTGAGGTATAAAATAGAGTTCAAGAATAAGAATGACAATATAATAGCAGTATAATAAACTGGGAAGGTTACACCGAATATATATATAATCAGTTTAAATGGTCTTATTAAGCCGATCAAATTGTACTTGCCATTAAGTTAAACTGTCATTATATTTCAATGGTCAAGACCTACAAACATTCTCGCTTAACAAGCGTTAAATAGTAATTCGATATGAATTAAACCGTTTGAGTTATTCTCTTTAGTTTATCATGTGTATAATATAAAAATTTATTGAATACATCTATCCGTTTCCATGTCAACAAACTGAGCTAATGTGCTAAATAGAAATTTGAACAACTACTTTTGTTGCACTAAACATCAACATATCATTAACTGATATCTAATATACTATTTAATACATTAAGGTTGATTAAAAATAATCACCTTTTCTACTCTGCTTCACTTTTACTCAACTCCATTATTCATCTTGCACTTATTAAGTAAACATTTTCAAAAATTATAATTATCTTATTCACATTCATCTTCCAAATACTTCTGTAATCATAATTTCATAATTATTAATGTAAATATCTTCAAATTTATAACACGTATTACATGTTCAAAGAAAAACAACTATTTCTTCATCACATGAAAGTTCCTAGAAGCGCGCATCCACGATCTTGTTGATAGATCGAACCAGTGATCTTCAGGTTCTGTAATGACTACTGAACTAGCAATGAATGGTTTGAAGTTAAAGATTAGAAATATTAATCAAAGATTAATAACTCACCATGAGACTTAAAGCTCTAGTATTCAATACCTAATGAGGTTGTGGATATTAGTTGCTGAAGAGTTCTATACAAGAGTGAAACAATTATCAAATGCTTTCTGGCTTTTAATAGTTGTCCAAAGCTTATTCATAATATAAACTGTAAAATTCTATTATCTTCACATACCTCTTATTATTGATAAAATTTGTTAAGTTCTCAACAGAAAAGATTATTAAGCTTTTAAACTACAACTGCCACAATCTAAGCATTTCAAAGCTATATCTTGTTCGTTTATAAATTATGGTTAAAAACAGTATTACTATAAAATATCAAAACGATTCACAAGTTATTTATGGCTGGAACAATGTGAACACATGTAACTAAGAAATATAATTAGCTGTAGTGAATTGATGGCAGAATAGTTAAAGAAAACTATCAGTTTTTTTTAACTAATATTCATATGTTTGACTCTTTCATTGACTGTACTAATTTAACCTTCTAAGTAGTATTACTAACTTTTTGATGGAGTTTTGTTGTCTGAGCTGGATGGTTTGGTTGTAGAGCTTTCATCGTTCTTCTGAACAACATCATCAAAACAAACTTCAAGTAGAAGTGAAGTATTCGAATTTCTTTACATATGGCTCATGGCTTGTCCTATAGATCTCGATGTTGATATAAGCAAAATAAACAAGTAGAGTTTAAGGTCAACAAGAACCAATCAACATCAAAGTCTACATGACAAGCTGTGAATTATATATGGTCACTTCAGTATTACTAGCTCATAGAAACAAATAATGCTACCCAAAATTATTTACATATATCTGTTTCTGATATCTAACTTACATAAAATTAACTTTCTAGTTAAAAGTACCATATAAATCATTCACATGTATTCTGGTCAACGTAAGAATTACTTATACACAAGCAATTATATGGCTGATGAAGATTCTTGTTCTATGTGTAGGCTGTCTTTTTTGACCATAGTTTAATATAAGTTGGGGAATTAATCCTAAGAAACTGTAGAACATTCGAATATTAAATTTATTCATGGTTTTCAAATGATTTATCTTAGAAGGATTTGAGAGTAGTAAAGCGACTAAATAAAACACAATGGTTATGTGACGTGTGCTAATTATATCGACATAAGTAGTATAAAACGCTAGTAAGGAATAGAATGACTGGCAGCAGAAGGTAGGGAAGATTGAGAAGGAAAGAACGGAAACAGAAAGAGATTGGTGTGGAAATGAAAGAACAGTATAGCCTGAGACGAATGATTGACATTTGCAAAGAAACAGTCAAGTTTAAGACAACTGATTGATATTTTGCAAATTAAGTGTTTACTGTATAATTCTCATATTTTACTAAGAGATTCTGTAATTTCATGTACAAATACATTCGATATTCTCTATTTGTGTCCTCGTTCTTTACAGTTATATTAAGTATCTGGATAATATATCTTTTAGAATGATTTAAACTACCGACTGATTGCAACTAGGGGACAATTGAAAAACCGAGAACAATAAACAAATTTATCATTCTAGAACTAAGAAATTCATATTGTTCGGATATCTTGACAAACTTAATATCTTTATCCCATTAAGATAAGATATAATAATGCAAACTTTCAAGTTTAACTGATTTTAGAATAAGTAAACTGATATTAGAAGTTAATTACATAATATATCAGTTTCATGTTATTTAAAACCCATTTATTAGATATACCTCTATTTTATCATTGTTATTCATTTACATTAGAATTTGAACCGGAATGTCTATGATCTTAAACACTAAAAATTTGTCGACTGAGTAGAGAAAGCTAATAACTTGTCAAGATATAATGAAGCTTACATCAAGATTGATAAGAGTTTGAGTTAGACGTCCGTTGATTACTTTTTTTTGGAATCCATTCTTATGTAATGAACAAAATTTGAAGGTAATTTCGAAGACTTACTGAAATAGAATTTGAATCAGTAATCAGTTTATCTTGCCTTTATTCTTAATAAGTAACATATATACTTCGGAATTGAATCAAACATTAAGAATCACGCTTAAACCTAAATAAAATCAGTATCATTGTATTCATTGACAAAGATCGAACTAATCTTTATTGAATAGTAAAATAGTCACCTATGGGATTATTTGTCTGTTTTGTTGTTTTCGTTTTCGTTTTTTTTGTTTTTTGAGAAGAGAAGAGAATAAAACATTGAAGAGTGTGTTAACTAAATTAAACAGTAAATAGTATAATATTCATTTCATAGAAAATCTACTTTACTTTTGTCAAACTAACAAGTTAAAATCTTTGAATCTTTGAATAACAATTTGGGTAGATACCCGTTAATTTAGTTCTAATTTAAATAATAAAACTAAACATAAACTATTTCTGTGTCAATTACAATCATTATGATTCATTAATAACATTTGAGTAGTAATAATAATAGTAATCATAATCTTAATAATAAAACAAACAAACAAACAGAAAAGTTGGTCGTTGAACATTATTTCAATCCAGTCTTTCATTGATCTTTCAATGACCTAATGATTAATCGCTTGCACGCCAGACTGATAGATCCTGGTTTCGAATCTTGCGAGGCGAGGTTGTGGATGAGCACCAGTGTTTCTAGGTTTTCTATGATGGTCTAGCTTAGATTGCCTCATGATCTCAACTACTGAAATTACTATCATATCCACAAAACCCCTTCTGAAATATATATATATATATATATATTCACCATAACAATTGTAATAGTTCTCTTAATTGGAAACAAAGTTGACAGTCTATAACAAGTGGCATAGAATATAAACACTAATGATGACAATCAATTTACAATTATTTACTTTTGAAAGAGGTAAATAATAAATTTTCTCAACGTTTTTTTGAAAAATAGGCGGGAACTTATGTTTAAAACAACAAAACAGAACATAATAAACAAATGATTCATATTCAAAAAATATTTTGTTATAAGAAGAGTTTTGTCTAGTGACATAATATTAATTTACATTAAAATTGTATTTATTGTTTACAACATTGACTCATTTTATTTAGACAATCATCAAAAACTGGGAAATATTAGACAATAATTTGATCCTAGTATATGAATAGTTGATTTTTAGACCATTGGGTTAATATTCAATGATTAACATTTTTGAATTCTGTTAGTTAACTGGAATGCCCTCAAATGTCCTGGTACGGCCGAGAGTGGCGAGAGTCAGCTCTACCTCCCGAAATGCTCTCACATGGTCACGCGTATACAGCCACTACCACGGAAGTCATACTCACCGACTCCTGTTAGCGAGGTTGTTGTTTACGAAATTAAGATGACGAAAAGCGAATGTCTAGAGCATTAACCGGGTTGGTGGACACGGAGAGTCGACCTAGGGAATTGGAAAACCCTGATTTAAAACCAATAGTGCACATGTTATCCAGTATTCTCAAGGAACTAATGGCGTATGAACCAATTATTGGTCACCGAGGTCCCTAGGTGAATTCAATATCGTTCAAAGGTCCTCCATAAATTATAGTCTCACCAAATAATGAATGAGCATGTAAATCATTGTGAATAGAAATAATACACAGAGCAAGAACAGAATTTTGATAGTTATGTTCCTGTTTCATTGCCGAATAAATAATTTAAAAAAACTTGTGTAATCTAGTTGTTTATATTATTAAATAACTTGTGATTATGTTTAATGTTTTATACCAGTATATTAGTTTCACCAAAAAGGGAACTGAATCGTTCTTTTTTCTTATTTTGAGAGCTTGAGCAAATGATACGGTCTCATGATCAGTTACTGAGTCAATCACATCGTATCATTTAATTTAGTTATCATTTTAAAAACCTAAAACATACTGATTATACCATACTCAAGGCTTCCTTTGATAACAAAGAATATTTATGGAATTTATAAAATAGGAACTGAAGCAAGAAC